TTTGGGCAGAAGCTCATGGCATGTGTAATGCATGGGCTGTTTGTTTCCTTAACAGCAGCATTGTGATGGCAAAGAGTAAATTGAATTTTACTTTCACAACAGCACTTCTAGCCTGCAAACGGCCAATCTACTTTATCCTGTGTTTTTCAAACCCAAATTCAACTGACATCAGCCATTCTGGTGTCACTCGAGAACAATCATTGCCTACATTTACAGAAAATGGTGGTTTCACAGTGGATGCGTCTACATGAAATGCTAAAAGCACAACAGAGTAATTCTACTGAGCGCTAGCGCGTCACAGTGAAAGCCATGCAAATGCCCTAACGCGCAGTAGAATTAGTTTACTGCGCATCAGCGTCACTTAAAAGCCATGTGCCAGTGCTACTGATTATCACGCATTAAGTTAGTACCCGTTCCTGTTATTACAGGTACTAAACTTCATGAGCAGTAATTACAGCACATTAATGCACATGCCCAGTGAGAGGCAAACATTGATCTTCATTGGAATGAAATTTCAAAATTTCCCTTTTAGAAAATATCCTAGTATTTTCTGAGCAAAAACCCCACAAAAAAACCCCCACCTTTAAAATTTGGGTTAGAAAACCATTCTTAGAATCAAAGCAAAATGCAAAAAATGTTAAGCTTTTTCCTCAAATTTAAGTGACAAAATTGGCAGTCTTCTTTGTACTCATACTGCTTAAAGGGCAAGCTGGGTAATCTTCCAGCTGTCACCAGATCATTCATAACTGCTTTTAAATCGCGACAAGCTAATTCCTCTTTAGCCTTCCATTGTAGTCTGATCAGTTCGGATTCACGGCTGAGGAAAAGCAATAAGTGATATGCCAAGACGACAACATTCTTTAAAATGACTAGCTCTTTCCTTCACAGTGATTAATGTGTCACATATCATCAACTCAAAACGTCTAATTTTATGGGAAAAATCTACTAGAAGAAGAGAAATATAACGGAAACTTCCAGGGAAATTGATTAAAAGGAAACAAGATATTTGACCCAATTTAGTGGAACAAAATACTCCGTCAATAATAGAAACCATCTAAATTCCTCAGATGGACAGTCTGTACTTTACTGAAAGATTTTTTTTTTTTAAACCACCTTGGAATATCTTTTATAAGACCAGGTTTCGGAATCTCTCTTTCTTCTCTTTGGCCAACTGCCACCTTTTACAATGTAAAGAGTTTATAACAACAGCTTAATGGCAGTACACGTGCATTGTATAATGCAAGATCCGTGAGATGCTTCAAACAAGGATTAACAAGAAGGCATTAGAATAAAAACTGTGACAGCCTGAACAGCATTCACAACGCTCACATTCATTTCCCATGAATGCTCATCTGAGAAGGTTTTTCTTTTTGTTTGCAAGAATCTTGGAGGAAAGCAAAATGCAAATGTGTCAGCACCATAAGTGCACAAAGTGGCTACTTTGAAAGCTCTCCAATAGCTTTCCCTTTCCTCCTTTGCATAAGTTTCAAGCAAGGAGCAGAAACACTACAACGTGACTCTGATATCCAAACACATGCCAAGCATAAGGCCAAAAATAAGCCTCAGCAGGCAGTGAAAGGGGCAGTGGGAGTGAACAGGCCAGAGTAGCTTCGTAGAATCATTTGATCAATTCTTCAATACTAGACAAATCCAGAAAGATCAAAATCTACTCATGGGTCATTTAGAAGGAGCCAAAAAGTGGAGAGAAGTAAGATTAGAGGAATAAGCCATTATCAATGCTGCAGTTTAGCCACATCTGACAGTAGCTCTGGATCCAGAGATGCCCTGACAGCGCACTACATTTTGGCTTCAAAGAAATTAGGGTTCAGATTTTCAGAACCGAAGGCCAAATCGCTTCTAACGAATGAGTGGAGCAGGAAGGGTAAAACCACTGTCCCAAGCTGTAACCCTTAATAGCAACAAGGTCCAGAGTGATTGTGTCAAGAAACACAATAATTGCATTTACTTGTCCAAGACACCTCTAGAAACCCTCTGAGATAGCTGGCACATTGCCAACTGTGTACCTTACAGACCACTGGAGTAATTGGCTTTGTGTCGTCCCAGCGCAGAGCTGTGCCTGTCTGGAGTAAGAGATCCCTGTGTGCATGCAACATTTGCGACGTACTGTACAGCGAAGGCCTGATTCAACAAGGCACATACGGATGTGGGTAATTTTAAACACTAGACTAATTTGTGCACGGTCCTTTCATAACTACACATGCAATACAGAGATAACCAGTAGGATGTCAAGCTAACCTGCGGCATCTTTGACCCTTAGAATCGTGCACACACGATTGCAGGTAACAGCATGAGGTATGCCATTTAGGGACAAGACCAGCTGAAGGCCGTACTGTGGGGTCTGCTGGCTATGACCTCCACAGAGAGGTAGTACAGCCTTTGTTGGATGTTTCCCCCAGTGCAAGGGGAGGACTTTTTCTAGCCTGTCTAAAATGCCCACCAATGCCAAGCCCACAAGGGAATGGGCTTGCACCCTGAGCAAATATTAACCTGTTGCTACAGTTACAGGAGTGGTTTAAAGTGCCTTACCTTCATCAGGCAGACAGTTCGTTGGGTAAATGTGATACTTTTATTAGACCAACCAAATAGTCTATTTAGTTGGTCTAACAAAAGATACCACGTTTACCCAACGAACCTTGCCTTTACTTCATCATCAACTTGAGAACCAAACTAGCAGCCAAAAGAACCTCTAGCTGCCGAACGTGCAGACATAGCAGGATAAAAGCTCCTTTGGGAGACAGACTTGACCATTTCATACAGCACACAGCGGTCCCTCTTTCCTTCATCCTGCATACCTGCCTTGGGATGAACTTGTTCCAGATGATTTTTTGAGCTCCAGAAACCACCCCTAAAAGCACAGAAGGCCAACTCTTACAGCAACGATGCAGAATCAGACTGTCCCATGAAAAGTGGATACTTTGCAGTTCTCTCTTCACTGCAGTTAATGATCTGCTGACACCAAGGGGAGTTCCTAACCAAGGGCAGCTTCTGCTAAGGCAACGTGTAGTGTTGTGTTTGTAGCAACAACAATCTCTGGGGAGCCACATTTGGCAGCACGAGTGACCACTGACCAGTTGACTTACAGCAGCTACTTAGTGATGCTCCCCTAAGGGACAATATAAACTGCTGCTGGATAGGATAGATCTTACAGGAGGCTTTGTCATGGACAAGGATGCCCAAGGGGTAAAGGAAAAAATAAATAGCAGACCTGTGAAAACATATGCATACAGGAGATGGAAGAGGGATGGGATGCGGCTGTGACCCCCAACTGCCCTTTCCTGCAACAGCAGGAATGATGATCTGGCGAGGTTGGCTGTGCAACGTGAATTTATCAGTCACGGTTAGGGGGGAAAAAATGACATTTCTGGTGTCCATGAGACAACAAGGCAGGCTTATCATATGAGGCGTAATTTAACCTGTGTTGCTGCTGCTGGGTTTCCCAGAACTAGGCTGTGATAAGCAGTTGGCACTAAAATTTGTAAATACTGCTCATTAAAAATAAAATACATTAGAAACAGAAAAGACTTGTTACTCCAGATCGGCAGGTCCACTCCTGTAGGATGTGCCTACATTGGCTCCATGCCATTCTCATGGCTGTCACAGAAAAAGCAGCCCAGTCCACCTGCTCTCACTGTACATATGAAGCCTAAAAATGGGTGTAGAAGGGTGAAGCTTATGTTTTTGGCAGGAGCCTCAAAAGTGGCACAAAGCCAGTGAAGACAGGATAGCTCCATCAAATGCACCAGTACCTCATCCAGTATCCCAACTTCCTCTCCCCTTTTCACACAACACACTTCTCCAATAGAACCTTATTTTCTGCTCTTCAATTTGAAATGTTTCATTTGTTGGATTTAATTCCAGTATGCCTAACAATAAGTCACCTAAAATCAACCTCTTTCTGCCTTGTGCTTGCATGTATCCACCACTTGCAAAACATTATCACGTCACCAGAATAAACAGTTAGCCAAGTTAAACAGGCTACCATTTTCAAAGCACCATATGTGCACCAATTGTGACAACTCTAATTGCACAGACAAAGTAGACGTGCAAGCTAAACAATAGTGCACACAAATAGCCAGTCACACAATTTAGTCCTGCAGTCATGTTGATAGTGTGCAATGACTTTTAGAAAATTCAGGCTGGTCTTTTTTCCGAAGTAAGCATTTACTCTTCCAGAAGGACACATGGAGACGGAGTAATTATGTTCGGTTCCACGCTCAGCCGCTGACTCACTGTGTGACCCTGGGGCAAGTCACTGAACTCCTGAGTGCTCCTTTTACCCCTGGGTAAAGTGAATATCATACTGTAACCCCTTTCTGACCCCACGAGTTAGCCAAATTCTAGCTGCTATGGGTTGTTTTTTTTAGAAGGAGAAATTGAGGGAGTCGGGTCCTTCCCAAATGCAATCTTGTTTATACAGAACGTACAAAAAATCCTGTTTCCCTGAACAAAGTAGGTACCAAGTAGGAGACTATTTTTGCTCATAACTTCAAGCCCCTCTCAGTCAGTTCTCAGTCCCAAAAGCTTTCTCCAAGCTTATCTCCGGGGCATGAGTCCAGTGCTTTTTCAGGATGTGCCCTGGGTTCCCTCTGGCACCTTCTTTGCTCCTTTTCACAGACACACAAACTTCCACAAAACAATGGCCAGCAAAACTCCTCTACCCAGTTGTGCCTCTGCTTTAAGTGGTGACATGTCCCTACGTTTAGGGCAGAGGCCATTATTCTGGCTGGTGCCTTGAAGAAGCTCAACAGTTTCCTACAACTGTCTTAGATGAGGGATAATGGTTACACCCGAACCATAACACCCCTATCGGCACCTACCTCAAAATGGCACAGTGGGGCTTAATTAATTTTTGTGAAGTACTCTGGTAGTCACTGCCGTGGCACCTTGGTTGAGAACCACTGCTCTGCTTTAATTTGGATTGCGAGGATGGGAACATAAATGTGGGGCAGAAGCATAAGAGAATCAAGTGAGAGACTTACAGCATTCAATGGGATTAGACGCCGCTTGCAAGGACACAATTCTTCCGCTGGCTTCGGGGATGTGCACACGGAAGACGAGCCGCACCCGGGTGTTCTTCCTGCCAATGTCCGTCTCTCCCTTCCGCAATTCGATGTCGGCGTTCCTCAGCTTCAAAATCCCCGCACAGTCAATGCTGGCAAAGAAAGGGAAGCCTTGTTGTGCATGCTTGTTTTAATGTTTCTTGTTTTCATAGGGGTTGGAAATGGATGAAGGGCGAGAAGGGTAAGTCATTCTGCATCAGCAATTAGGCCTAATTAAGAGGAGCCCTGAGTATTTAATTTTCATTTTGGATTGGGGTGTCAGTTAAAATGGCAACATGGGTAGTCAGTCCTGCACCTGATCTGTGACTGGAACTGCAAGGAGAATGTCAGTTACTGTATTTCCATAAAACTCGTTACACACCTAATTAGTCAGCTGTGCCTGCAACCGTAACACTCAGGTACTGTATAAAGCATGGTCACTGTCATTACGTAGGCAGATTGTACATGGAGCCTATCAATTAGGCCCACAAAGGTATGAACGTTTCCTAAAAATGTGTACAAGCATAAAACAAACTCCAAACTAGGGGAGCAAATATACTCCTGCTTTCATTTTCCGAATCTAGGGCTGAGCATCAGGACTCTAATTCCAGCTTTGACAATGGCTCATTGTGTGAACAAGACAAATGCAGCCCTAGGTAACCAAGTGATTACACTTACTTTACAGCTGCTGTGATGACTGGCCAGTTAACATTTGCAAAGTACTTGCGACCCTCAAGAAATACTGCAGTAAGCACCATTATTAAAAAGCCCTTACATGGTATTTTAATCCCAGTTGTAAATGCAGGTACTATTGGAGTTAACATCCCCCTGAAATGTTTCCTACAAAACCTCTGTTTTGCTGCTGTACTTGCAGAGTGGTTTATTATTCTTGGGTCATGTATCATTCATGTGTTTTTTCATTCCAGGTTGCTTCAAGCTGGGGATGTGGACCAGTATTTATTTACTTGGAAAAAGATAGGAGCCATGAAGCATCTGCTTTGGAAAACAACATGCAAAGAATCGTGTGGACTTTGATGAGGTTCAGAGTTTTCTTGTTTTTTTAAAAAAGAGCCACTGCAAACTTTACCAGTATCTGCTTAAAAAGTGGGCATTTCTTTCCTGTAAATAAAAACCATCCCACTGCTGTTTGGATAATATTCAAAATGAAATCTGTGCACTTTTAATCCATCTGACTTGATCAGACTGGAGGAAACAACTGAAAACTATTGAGAAGATGTAACCAGGCATATTCTTCTCTACCTTCATTTGCATGTTGCACATATGAGACATCTAATGACCCAGCAGGTAGAGCAGTGGACTGGGACTTGGGAGATTTGGGATGTTTGGGTCCTCTGCCACTGGCCTGCAGAGTGAGCTTGGCAAGTCACTTTTATCTACCTGCATCATCTTCTGGATCTAGGTATGGCGATATCAAACCCATTTGCAAAGAGGTTTACTATCTACTCTCGAAAAGTGCTTTATGGAAGCTAGAGGTGGTTAGTATTAGCACTACCTCCTTAAGAAATGTTAACAAGACTCTGGATTCTAAAAGCTACCCTTGAAAGAAAGAGATTTTGGCTTGCTTGAGCCAAGTTATCACCACATGTCAAGATGAAATGTTAAAGTTTGTGGCTTCTAACCTGTTCAACATAGTGCATGACCCTCCCCAACTTGCCAAAGTGATGTACATCTTTTCCATTTCATAGCACAGTTAATTCCTATAGGGTTTCCATGGTCCCTTCTCTCTAGTGCAGTGGTTCTCAACCTTTTTAGACTCAATACAACCCTTATTAGACTCAAGGTGCACCTATGAAAATGCCAGCTCTAAGCTTATATTCAGGGGGGATTAGGGTGGGGTGGGGTGGAGTTTGACTACAGAAAAATAATAGAGCAATTCTTCTGTTGCAAAGAACTCAGAAAGACCACAATAGGTTGGAATATTTTTTTGAAAATATAGATTTCTATTTGCTATCTCTAAGTTTATATTGTGAATCGCGTGGGTATCTGAACACTTGCCAGTGCTAATACTGTGTGGCACACCACAACACCCTTAAAGGATCCTTCCACACCTCAGGGTGCTGTGACATCCTGGTTCAGAATCACTGCTCTATAGCAATGACTCAGGACTCAAGTCGCATATACACAAATACATTTATGCCTCCCTGATGTTGTAAAGGAAGTCTTAAAATGGCATCAATTCCATTTTATACCTGAAAATCTAAAAACTCTTCCCAGAGCAAAAAATAGATACATTTTTTCCAAAAAAAAAAAAAAAAAGGGGGAATTTTCCATGCAACCTGCCTTAACACTGCTAAGAATACTTACGTTGCTTTCATGTTGTTTTTGGGCTCCAAAGGGATCTCAAGAACTTTGGTGTTGCCAATGATTTTCTCATAGCTGGTAGTGGTGACCGTTTTCCCGGTAATGCGATGGACTTGATAGAAAGCATGAGGTTTAAGTATCCGTTCATCTGCTGTCCCAATGAAGATCTGGAGACCCAGGGGCTTGTTCTCCATGTAACCATGAAGCTAGCAAGAAATATAATCTATTATTACAAACTGTGTCTGCAATATCATCAGTATACAAGCAATAAAAAGATAACATAACAAATGCATAATACTAAAAGCAGTCATATTCCAACTCTTCAAAAGGCTACACACTCCCTAGCAGTGCCATCTGGAGTCCTTACAATACATGGAACATAACTAACAAAAATGTACTAATAATATTTGTACACCACCCTAAATTCCTAAAGCCTCCTTACTCTAACCTATTCCTAAAAAAAAAGACTAAATGCTTTAGTTCATCCAGAAAGGCAAAGTGCCAAATATAGACTTCTGTTGTCTTAAATGATTTTTGTTCCCCAAATGGATTAATAAATCCACCAAGCCAGGATAAGCAGAAGCTTGTTCACTTCATTTGCAGTCAGGAACTTCAAAATAAGGTTCAAAGGTTTAATGTCATTAATCAAAAAACAGTTCCAAAACCTTGTCAAACTCTGACTTCTGCACCTGTAGTCTCCGACACTACTTCCTGCTTTAAATTAGGCCGGAAATACCAAAAGAATAGAAAAAATATATATGTATATACTTTCTTCTGGTTGCACCCCAGCCAGAAAGAGGAGATGCTTTTACAACTTCTGATGCCATGTCTGTGCGTTGGTCCATTCTACAGTTTATTGAAATGAATAGAAAACACCCACTGATTTACATAGGCTTTGGATCAGGCTTATATATTGGCCCTCTAAGCTGCCATATCAGCTTGTAAACTCACATCTAATTTATTTCTAACCTAACATCCATTACGATGCTTCTGCTGTGACTCAGCTTATGACTCCTAGTGTAACTATAGTAAAAAATGAAGATTTATTTTCCAAACAGGAAGCACCTCGTAAATGCACATGTGTTTTTGAGAGAAGAAGCAAGCCCTTAGTTTTCTAAGTCATACTAATAGTAAACACATCAGGAATTAGTGATTACTACAACATCCTTTTTCCAACCTCGACAAATACAGTCTTGCCCTGCTCTCATCTATCCAGAATACTACTGCAAACCTACCATTATTATCCGTCACTCTGTCACTTTGACTTCTTCGCTCACATTTTGATTTCTCCACTGGCTCCCCTTTCTCTACCACATCAGATAGAAGCTATTTATCTTCATGTTCAAGGCCCCATGCAGCCTTTCTCTAGCCAGATGTCATCTCTCATTCACTACAGAGGTACTGACTTGTACTCATCCACTTGTTATATTGTCAGTTGTACATCTTCCTGCCTTCTTCCATGCTGATTCTCACACTTGGGAGGACCTCCCCATTACCATTTGCAAAACATGTTACGCCCCTCAAAAACTTCTTTTCTGGCTCACAAATAATTATCCTGACAACTGATAGGCTGCAGGTATGCTCAGACCATCATCCATCATGCTGACTAAATAATATGGTCTCATGGCATCCTCTTATTCTCCCAAATGTATCAATCTACCGCACCTTTTCTTAAACTTAGATTGCAAGCTCCGAGGGCAAGATGACGCTTTTTGTTCAGTGTTTGTACAGCTCCAAGCACAAAGGGAACCCTTTTCAGGAGTGGAGCTCCTAGGCACTATGGTAAGACAAATTAAATAATATAATAATAAATGACGACAGGTTTTTGAAGAGTATTTACTAAGGGAGAAGCAAAATAGAGCTAGAATTTCTCTTTAGGCCAGGGACCAGGAAATATCTCTTTCTCTATTAACATTCAAAATTACGAAGCAAACCATTCTAAATTTCTCACATAACTGAAAATTAAAAACAGACATCTATCTACCGCATAGCCAGTGATCTAGCTGAAAGGGAACTTTATGGTCTGAGACATGCTAAATTTGTTTTCAATTACTCTGTCCGCGTACAAAACCTTGATGAAGCCATACAAAGCAAACAGTACTGGAAGATCAGAGAAAAGAAACATTAAGCTAGTAGTATTCATGGCCAAAATCTTTTTTCTTCTTTTCACCAGTCAGCAGGAGGTATCTTTGCATAGAAGGATTAATTCCCCCCACCCTGGAAAGAGACCACATGCAGCATCAATGCATTGCTGGCAATCTTCCTTCAAGATGGTAAATGTAAAGCAACACTCACAGTCCTCTGATCCATTATTCTTCACATAGCATATATTTGCAGAGCATATAAATACAGTGTCTATGCCCCAAAGACTTTACAACCCAAGGGTCCAATAAAGAAGCCTTTGCTCACTGAAAAGTTTCATTACCTTCAATGGGACTAAAGTCCCAGGGAGTAACGACTTAAGTGAGAGTTACTGAATCAAGCCCTGACAATGTCAGTGCAATACATAAGACACCAGTTCAGATGGAGGGTGGCTTGGAAACATGGTTAACAGGGATATCAGCAAAGGGAAGTTTTTACAAATAGTAGGTCTGGAGAGCGATGTGAAGGAACAGAATAATGCTTCAAGTCAGAGGGATGGCATGCAAAAAAAGGTGCTTTGCCAGGAAACTGAAAAATATGATGGCTGTACTTAAGAGCTTTAGGAATGTATGGGGAGAGAGAGAGAGAGAGAGGATGGAAAGGACAGATTAAACTGACTGTGCTACAGATCTACATGGAACAGACGCGAGTTTATGGATCACTCCCCATCTGTCTGCGCGTATTCAGCCAACTAATTCCTTGGAGGGTCATACTGAACTTCATCTTAAATGTTTTATAGTCAAAGTCTGAGGGGTTTTTGTCCTGTTAAGCAAATCTATTATAGGAAAAAGCACCATATTGTAAAGAAGGACAGAAGAAGATGAAAGAACTTCTTACGCGCTCTCAGTATATTTATTAATAAGAATGATACACTGAAATTTCCATGTAGACTCCATGGTTCATTAGGGCCAAACAGCACAGAAGGCCAAATAAGATCTCTAGTAGATACAAGGGAATGAAACAGTTACTGTAGTGACAACAAAGCAGCATTCAAGTTTCTCCTTTCTATCTGGTCAGAATAAATCCTAGAATATAGATAGAAGACCAGGAAGCAGCAAATCAACCAGTAAATCATATTATAAGATTTGTAGCAAATGAAGTTCTACTGAGCAAATCCACGACTATTGCATAAGAAGGGGCTCAAACTAGCAAATGCAATTAAACAGAAAGAGAAATGAAAGACAGACATAGCATAAATGGTTGTGCACAGCTATGTGCACAGTGTATTTAATGTAGAATGTTCTTAAAATAATTTAAAATACAAGTTATAATCACATACAGAATAAATTTCCAAGATAAGGTGCAACCTGAGCTGTGGCTGGAGTTTCCTAGTGAAAATAATCAGAAAGGTATCCACGGAATATTTAGTTAATGATGACTTAACATTTGCAGTGTAGATGTGTATTAGGTAACGTACCAATAATGTTGGGTAGTAACATATTACCCACACGTGTAAAGGACAGCTACTACACAGAATGTAGTTTACATCAGTAATCTAATTGGTTAGATTAAGAAAGTCGGAAGACTATTTGGTACTTTATGGGCATTTGATTATCCCACTGTAAAATCAAAGCAGTGTTATAAAATGCATATCAAGCTGCACTGTGCAGCCAGCTAGTTGGTGTTTGTGTACAATGAAGGAATTGGATCTCTTCTGCTCTCATGGTAACACAGAGAATGGGGAAGGGAATCACTGAAAGAAACATGGAAAAACATGATGACCTCAGACCATTTCACCAAAAAGTTTAGTGGGAACAATTTTCCCCTCCCTAGGAGCAATCGATTGCCTAAGGCACAAATCATCAACCTTACTAGCAAGTCCATGTTGCTTATTTAGCTCGGAGGAAGACCACAGAGTCTCCTTTATGGTTAACTGTACACTATGCTTCAGCTGTCCAAAAACAGGGCAAAATGCTGCACTCACCATTCAGGCTAAATTGGTGTTTCATCTGAAAGAGGCCACCAGTTCATTTCCCAAGGCCAAGCAATTGCCCCAGCTTCTTTTCCACTCTTCTTTCAAAGAAACACAAAATGTAAAAATTATCTGGATTTTTGTAGAATGACTGTCAAAACAGGGAATGATTTATGAATAGAAAGGTCCAGCAGGGACTATTTTTGTGTATTATAAAGGTGAGCTATTCACAATAAAACTCCACCAAACTGTATACAGATTGGGCTGGAGAAAAACCAACTCCTTTGAGTCATATTTGCCACAAGGGGAAAGAGAAGCCAGACATGATGTGTACCTTTCCATACTCTATTTTGGGAGCTTAAGATCCTACTTCTTTCAGTTGAAAGGTGAAAAAAAGAAAGAAAAAAAGAGCTTTACTTTTGCATAATTCTTATAATATTAACACAGCCAGACATGGGCTGGTCTGTGACCTGGAGAAATGCAAGGCACTTTGGCAGATAAACAAATAACATCATTCAGCAAACAAGGAGACTTTTCTTGTTTGGTTTACTGCAGCAATTGGGTTTTATAAACAAGATGGAAATTTGTGGTGCGATTAAAATCATTGACTTACCTCTCCATAAACGAGGATCATTCATTCATTCAGCATCACATCTGTTTATCGATACTGGCTTTAAATGGTATGTGCACACACAAGTGTTAGATGTTCAGAATGGCTCTTATACAATTTTACATACAAGGAACCTAGATGCATCTGCATGTGCAAACATCACTGTTGTGCAGACGTATGATAAAAGTCCAATTTGTTATTTGGCTGTGCAGTCAGCATGACTTCAAGGACAACTGAAGTAACGGTGACTACAACTTAGGCATGCAAGTATGCATAAATGTTGTCTATGAGGTTCCAAAAATGTGCACCAGTATATCTTTAAAATGGTTGCAAGCCAAGGCCTCAGACCCAAATACCCAAAACTTTTTGGAGGAAATTTGAAATTCAAATATACATCTAGATCTGAACTGCCCCCCACCCCCACCCCTTCCATCCCCGTAACTGGCTGAACCAAAATCCTATACCCCAATATGCTCCAGCTGCACAGGGGTTGAAATGCCATGCTCACCTTTAATTTATTACAGAGTGAGCCCAAGTGCTAG